CTGATTTAACAGATGTTCCGATTTTTGCCAACATAAAGATTTATAGACTAGAACTTAAAGCTGGTAGGAATAAAAGATAATTCAGGATGATGGAGGGAGGGTAAGCACCCTAACCTGAGCAAGATACTTAAAGAGGAGATTGAAGAACTCTAAACTAGATCCAGGGACTGGAAAACCGTAATTGCCTGGGCTCATGTGAATCAGAGACAAGCCCCTCTCCTGCTCAAAGCCCCTAAGGGCTTTCTCTGGCAAGAGGAGAATATGTTTCATTGGTAACCCCAAATCCACAGTGAAAGATTGAATTGTGTTCCTTTTGTGTTACTGCTGGAGAAGGAAAGCTAGTGTGCACCCAATCTAAAATCATTTAGGTAAATGTGAAAGGTTTAAAAATCCAGTTTTAACATTTAAAGGGGAAAGATTTTAGTTTTATCACATTCCTCTGTGACGCCTGTAGTATTTAGAAGAATAAAAATTCTTTGCTGAACATTTTTGTAGATATTTTAATGAAGAACCACATACATGCAGAAAAATACCTAAATCATAAGTTACATGTTTTCATAACGTGAACACACTCATGTACCCGAATCATGAAACAACATCCCAGGCATCTGAGAATTTTCTTGGTAACCATTGTAACATCTCTCAGTCATGATAACTGCTCCTGACTTCTAACATCAGAGGTTAGTTTTGACTTTGGAAAAAATGCAATATAACAGGATCCAGATGGGGGAGAAAAAGCTGTTGTGATTTATTGTTCATAATTTCCTTTTCAAGCGAACATATTCCAAGTATTTCCTTTTCATATGTAGGTGTTCAAGTTTCCTCATCTAAGATGAGGGCAGTGTCTGAGTGATAGGATGGCAATGAGGATGATGACGACAATAATAATATTAATTTTAAAACACTTATTAAGATTAAGCAAGCTGGGGCGCCTGGGTGGCTCAGTGGGTTAAGCTTCTGCCTTCGGCTCAGGTCATGATCCCAGTGTCCTGGGATAGAGCCCTGCATCGGGCTCTCTGCTCAGCGGGGAGCCTGCTTCCTCCTCTCTCTCTGCCTGTCTCTCTGCCTACTTGTGATCTCTGTCTGTCAAATAAATAAAATCTTAAAAAAAAAAAAAAAGATTAAGCAAGCTACGTAACCTCTCTGTGCCTTAGCTTCCTCCTCTGTATAATGCGCATGGTAACGGTAATCATCCCTTCCTCACAGAGTTGAGGTAAGAATTATAATGTAAATGTAAACATGTAGAGCACTTAGCATGGCGCCTCCTATCTAGCAAGGGCTCAGTTGTGTGTGTGTGTGTGTGTGTGTGTGTGTGTGTGTGTGTGTAATAAATGAGGTTAACTCAGAAGAGGGTGAGATGATTGTTAGATTTTCATATTAGCTACATTTTTATTTTACTACAGCCTGATCACACATATTGCAAAATGCTCTCTACTGTGTGGATGAAAGGTCACAAAGGCATTGGGTCAAGAGGCACTTGTTTTTCTTGAGAACTAGAAAATCCTATATGGTGCGCCACTGAATCAGAGGAGAAAAAGCATAAGGAGGGGAGGCTGTGTGTTTGAGTTGACTTCAGTTTTATTTCTAGACTTTGATCTGCCTGCAGAGAGTGTTTTATATTTATTTTAAAAACACTTAATGGGTCACATACACAAATAAAACTAATGAAATCTGAATTAGGTCAGTGGATTATATTGACGTCAGTTTCTTAGTTGTGATATTGTACTATGGTTATGTAAGATGTTACCATTGGTAACACCAGGTATTGCTAGCTGTGTGAAGAGTATATGGACTCTATCTGTATTATTATTTTTTTTAATTTATTTGACAGAGAGAGAGAGATCACAAGTAGGAAGAGCAGCAGGCAGAGAGAGAGGGGGAAGCAGGCTCCCCGCTGAGCAGAGAGCCCAACGTGGGGCTCGATCCCAGGACCCCGAGAGCACAACCCGAGCACAGGGCAGAGGCTTAACCCACTGAGCCACCCAGGCGCCCCTCTCTGTATTATTTCTTATAGCTGCATGTAAATCTATAATTATCTCAAAATAAGAGTTTAAAAAAAACATGCCTATGGAGCCACATACTTTGAGGCCAGGGCTGTCCTAGTCTCAGGGTACAAGGAGAAACAACAAAATACATTCTTGCACTCAGAGAGGATGAGAAGGGACTTTGAACTAGATTTTAAAAGTTTAGGGGTGCCTGGGTGGCTCAGTTGGTGAAGGATCTGCCTTCAGCTCAGGTCATGACCTCAGAGTCCTGGGATCCAGTTTTGAGTTTCTGGCTCCTTGCTCAGTGGGAAATCTGTTTCTCCCTCTCCCTCTGCCCCTCCACTCCGCTCATGCTCTCTCTCACTCTCTCTCTCAAATAAATAAATACAGTCTTAAAAGAGTTCCAGTTGACTCTGGAACAGCACGGGTTTGAACTGTAGAACAGGTCTACTTACAGGTCAATTTTTTTTTTCAATAAACACACTTTACAGTACTGTAAATGTTTCTCATGATTTTCTTAACATTTTCTTTTCTCTAGCTTACTTCATTCTAAGAATGCAATATATAATACATAAAACATATGAAATATGTGTTAATAAACTGTTTATGTTATGAGTAAGGTTTCCAGTCAATGGTAGGCTATTAGTAGTTAGGTTTTGGGGAGTCAGATGTTATATGCAGATTTTCTTTTTCTTTTTTTAAAGATTTTATTTATTTATTTGACACTCAGAGATCACAAGTAAGCAAAGAGGTAGGCAGAGAGAGAGAAGGAAGCAGGCTCCCCGCTGAGCAGAGAGCCCGATGCAGGGCTCGATCCCAGGACCCAGAGATCATGACCTGAGCCAAAGGCAGATGCCCAATCCACTGAGCCACCCAAGTGCCCCAATATGCAGATTTTCAACTGTGTGGGGATCATTATCCCTAACTTTGCTCAAGGATCAAGCGCTGTAACCTTGTTTAAGGATCAGCTGGTCTACCTGGTTGCACTAAATGGCTTGAAAAGATTCATCAAATATAGAAATGATTATCCGAAAAGTCTCCACGTCCTCAAGGAAGTATAACCAATCATACTCATAAGATATCCATATATGCACTAAAATTAGTAAGTAACAATTCTTCAGACTTTGGATTAGAAAAGAATCCTGTCTTAATGGTGAGGGCTGTCAAGTGTTGTGGAATGGAATGAAAAGATAGGAAGATTGACATCTTGTGCTGAAAGCTTTAAAGAGGCTGAATTCACATCTTTCTTTGTAGGTTTATATGTGTCTCTGCCTGAGAATGGATTAGATAATCTCATACATTTTTGTGATCCTATGAAGTTCTTTATATTCAAATTATAAATGTCTTTAGTAGGAATGTGCCTTTTTTTTTTCTTACTAGAACTAAGCAATATACAGGATACACTGTGGATATAATGGAATCTATCTTGCAAGGAAATATTCAAACTTTTTCAACCTGCCCTACATTTTTAGATCCCTAAATTTTCCCTGACATGGACTGGAGATGTGGGAATGAGGGTGGGTAGCAGCAGGATATTGTCTTCAGAACAAAAATTAATCACATGCTGGTTAAGGTGACCATATAATCTGTTGCTTAAACCAGGACATTTAAAAAAAAATGCTTTCAAAAATGTTTTTGTTAGGGGCTCCTGGGTGGCTCAGTGGGTTGGGCCTCTGCCTTCGGCTCGGGTCATGGTCTCAGCGTCCTGGGATCGAGCCCCACATTGGGCTCTCTGCTTGGCGGAGAGACTGCTTCCCCCTCTCTCTCTCTGCCTGCCTCTCTACCTCCTTGTGATCTCTGTCTGTCAAATAAATAAATAAATAAATCTTTTTAAAGAAATGTTTTTGTTGAAGTTTAATCTACATGCAAGAAAGTGTACACTGAATCTCCCTCAGTGAACACTTATGTAACCTGCACCCAGACAGAGAAACAGAGTATTAGCAGGAAGCTAGGAATCCCTTGTATGTTACTTTCCAGTTACTGCGCACTTTCCTCACAAGGGTAACCAATATCCTGACTTTTCTTATTGCAGAAATGAGTTTTTCTTGTTTTTATACTTTGTATGAATTGAATCCATACAGTACATACTTGTTTATGTCTCATTACTTGGCCTCAACATTATAGGTGGATTCATATTCTTGGGTGAAGTTCTAGTTCTAGTTATAGATTATTATATATATTATGTATATATTTTTATATATAATACATATATATTATATATAGTTATTATTCATTCTCTTTATTGTGTATTCTATGGTGTGAATATATCACAATTTATTTTTTTAAATTTTTTAAGATTTTATTTATTTGACAGAGATTACAAGTAGGCAGAGAGGCAGGCAGAAAGAGAGGGAGAGGAAGCAAGCTCCCTGCTGAGCAGAGAGCCCAATGTGGGGCTCGATCCCAGGACCCTAGGATCATGACCTGAGCTGAAGGCAGAGGCTCAAACCACTGAGCCACCCAGGCGCCTATATCACAATTTATTTATTCATATTATTCATTATGGTCATTTGGGGAGTTTCTAGTTTTTGACCACTACAAATGGTGCTGCTAATAATGTTCTAGTGCATGTCTTTTGGTGAACATAAATACATACTTCTTTGGAGAATATACCCAGAAGTAGAATTGCTGGATCATAAGTTATGCTCAAGTTTAGCTTGTATAAATACTGCTGCTTTTCCAGAGTGTTTGTTCTCATTTATCTCCTGCTGTGGGACATGAGAGCTCTGATTGCTTTCCATCCTCTCCAATACTTGGCATTTTTCATGTTTCTCTTTCTATTTTTGGATGTAGTTTTTGGTAAAATACTGGGATATATTCTTTTGTCTATTTAGATCATGGTGCATATTTTTCTATTTCTTAGTCTATCTTTTCTCATCAAACTAAGACGTACACACACAGAGAGAAACAGTCATAAGATTTCATGCAAGGGAGTGTTAAGTGCATCAAAGTGTTCAACTTGTGTTGATTAAAAAAAATCAACACCTCATTCTGTCTCCCTTCGTCTCTTTCTAGCCATCATCGTCTACAGACTGCCATGGACCTGGAAATGCAGCAAGCTCCTGATGAAGTCCATCCACGCAGGGTTACACACTGTTGCCGCCATTCTCGTAATTATCGCTCTGGTGTCTGTTTTTGATTTCCACAATGCCCTGAGTATCCCCAACATGTACAGTCTACACAGCTGGGTCGGACTGACAGTTGTCATACTCTACATCTTACAGGTCAGTGTTTTGGTGTGTTTATAAACACGTTATAAAAAGTAAAACAGTTCAGATACCAGAGATGTTTTCTATACATTTGTATTTCTTGGAAATCGTCTTGTCATTCCCCCACTAGACTCTGCTCTGTTTTCTTTCCATTGTTAGTATTGTTCCCTGAGGGGCCACCAGAACTGCAGAATTCAGTCTTGAGTGTGAGAGTTTAGATATGGGCATATCTATGTAGGGAAACTGCCATCTCCATAACACAGAGGCTGCCATTATGTAGACCTCAAGTTCTATGTGCCAAATAAACAAGCATAGGTAAGAGCTACAGATTTCTTCCCCATATTTCCTATCACTTCTATTTTCTAACTTTATGAATGAAGATGTAAATTTTACTTCTCTGTTAGATTTTGTAGGCTCAGCGATTAGTTTAGTTTTCCCCTTTCCTCACTTAGTAAAAACACATACTTTGGAGAGCACTGTATTTAAACATAAGTTAATGGAGTTTGAAAGGGATGTGGCTATTCTAGGTCACTGAAGGGAAAGGTTAATTTTAGAAGTCTTTTTGGTGTTAACCACCTTGATGAAAAATCTTTGTCAACTATGTCAACTCATTTCCCTTGTCTTGTACAGCATATATCCAACTACATAATTAGGATATCAATGTAAACTTCAGTTTTCTGTGAATATAGGAGAAGAAACTGGAGTGAATCTACAAAACCCCAAGGCATATCTTTTTTTTTTTTTAAGATTTATTTATTTATTTGAGAGAGAGAGAGAGAGAGAAAACATGGGAGTAAAGGGCAGACGAAAATGGAGAGAGGATCTTAAGCACAGAGCTCAATATGGGGCTCAATCTCATGACCCTGATATCATGACCTGAGATCATGACCTGAGCCAAAACCAAGAATCTGACTCTCAGCCAACTGTACCACCCAGGCACCTCCTGCCACAAGGCATATCTTAAAATATATGAATGTATGACCTCTTAGAAAAAGACCTCTTACCAGGTATCTGTCATTTTTCTTTTTAAAGAAAGGCTTTTAAAGCCATAAAGCTTCTTGAATTTTAATTAAATAAAAGTGAATGTATGTCTGGACTGTATTGATTATTTAAGTTTGCATTACCATGACTGGAGCTAGGGATCAGAGAATGAAAAGGGGCCAGACAGGATGGGAGCACAGAGAAAACCCTGGATCAGACACGATCTTACTGATAAGAAGGAAAAAGAAAAGTATCTCTAATTGGATAGCTGAGCTTAGCTCAGATCTCCTGTCCTCAAGGTGGATTTTCCCTCTGTGTTCTTGTCTGGGAGGCAGCTTCTTTTGTCCCCCAGCAGCTGGTGGATCCTCCCCGTTCAAAGAAAGGGAGGCAAGAACAAAGGCCATTGAGATGCTGCCAGTTGCTTTAGGGCCCCCTTGGCTTCCTGTTGTGTCTTCAGAACTTTCCTCAGCTCCGTGTTCTGCTCTCAGCTGTCCATTCCCCTCACTTTGTCTCAATTCCTCTGCACCACTTCAGAATGCCAAACACAGAAGCCAGAGCACTATGTGAAGCATTCTTCTCTCTCCTGGTCCTTCGTGGGAGATGGCCTTTGCCAGGGCTGAGGAGGCACGAGTTACACAACCAGTGGCAGGGCTGGGACTCAGGCCCAAGTCCGGGGCCCTCCCCACGAGCACTTAGTTCTGCCCTTCCCATGATGTCCCCATGATCACTCAGCTAGCCTTCGAGCATCCTCATCTGGAGGGTGTATCTCTGAGGAACAGAATGGAAACCACCCCAAAGCTATGTAGCTTTCCTGTGAGAGAGTTCTGTGGTTCTGAGTGCAGTAATTAAATCGGACTAGATAAAATAACTTAACTGAGTCATGTGGTTGTATAGAGCTGTCCAGATAATTCAAGATTATCTCCCAATCATAAGATCCATAAACTAATTACATTTACAAAGTGTCTTTTGCCATGTAACATAACATATTCACAGCTTTCACGGATTAGGGTGTAAATATCTTTGTAAGTGTTGGGGGCAGCATGATTTAGCCTACTACAACTATGAATAAAAAAATAGAAGAAATTCTAAATGAAATGAAAAGCTGATTCTTTAAAAGAATAGACAAACTATTGCAAACCTGATTGAGAAAAAACAAAATATACAAACTTCAGAATAAGAAAGAAATATAATCATAGTTACAAATAATATTTTGAAATTAGGACAGGTTATTAAATTTTAATACACAGTAATATACTTAAAAATCTTAAAGAAGAAAGGACTGTTTTCTTACTAAATATAAACTACCAGATTTGATCCAAGAGGAATTAGAAAACATAAACTGGCTAATAATACTAGACAAAATTGGTAAGTTTGTTTGAAATCTATCACTAAAAAAGGCATTGGGTCCTTACTGTTTTATACCTTTGAACTTCTAGGAACAGGTACTTTCAACTATTCCAGGACACCAAGAGAAAACAAATTTTCTTAGATATGGCCCCATTGTGCATTACATACCACACCCAAGATGGCGGCTCCAATGAGAAACATCTTTACTAACACCAGCTGAAACTGTGAAACACTGAAGACATTTCTGTCAAATTGTCATTCAACTTTACCATTTTGGAAATTTTAGCTACAAGATGAAGAAAAAAATCAGTATAAATAATAGAGAATTTATGGCCTTTTTTTGATTTGCGGATCATGTGATGTATGTCTAGTAACCCAAGAGATGGCTAGAGTAATACGAGCATTTGGAAAGGTGGCTGGATATAAGATAGTCATTCATAATTAATTAACTTTTGCCTAAACTGGAAATAACTACTTAGAATAAGAAGTAGAATTCATTTAAAATGTAGATATAAAATTATAAAATACCTAGGGATAAATTGAACAATGAGGGTATAAAATCTATATGTAGAATATATAAAATACTACAAAATCTTATTAAGAAAACATGGTATAATTAGAGAGATACCGTGTTACTAAAAGAGAAAAATTAATATGGAAATATCTGTCCCTCTTCAATCATATTTATGTTTAATATCATTCTCATTTTAAGCCCAATGGGAGTCTTAAACTTGCAGAGCAAATACCAAGGATAATAAAAAAAATTTTGAAAAAGAAGTGAAGGGATACTTGCCTTATTCAAAACAAGTTATTAACACAAAAGTAAACAAAATATAGTCATGGAAAGACCAGAGAGGACAAAAATTGTCCAAGTATGTAGGAGAGCTTTTTTTTTTTAATGACACTATGGTGTTTCAATTTAGTGGGAAAGAATGCTTATTTAATAAATGTTACCATCAGGGGCACCCGGGTGGCTCAGTCCATTGGGCATCTGTCTCCCTTCCACTTGGGTCATGATCCTGGGCTCCTGGGATTGAGCCCGGCATTGGGCTTCCTGCTCAGCTGGCAGTCTGCATATCCCTCTCCCTCTGCACCCCCCCTTGTGCATGTGCACACACACACACTCTCTCTCTCTCTCCCAAATAAATAATATCTTTTTAAAAAAAAAGTTATCATCATAATTGGTTATCCATTTGGAAGAAACCAAATAAATAAGCAAAACAACTCTGCATATAAAACAAAAGAAAATAGATTCCAGATAGATTAAAGTCCTAAATATTACAAAAAAAAAAAAAAAGCCAATGAAAAGAGAAGAAGAAAATTAAGAAGCAGATAATCTGATTTTGGGGAGTCCATAAAGTTGATATGAAATCCAGAAGTCATAAAGGAAAAGAAAGACCTATTTGATTACATAAAATTTTTTAAAAATTATATGGGACGAAAGATACCAAGGTCAACAGAAACTGCACCAGGGGATATGGGGAATAATCATGTCGTGTGTTAAGGGTTAATGCATTTAACATATAAAACAATTCTCTCTTTTTGTTTTAAGATTTTATTTATTTGTCAGAGAGAAAGTGCACAAGCAGGGGGAGTGGCAGGCAGAGGGAGAAGCAGGCTCCCCGCTGAGCAGGGGATGTAGGACTCCATTCCAGGACCCTGGGATCATGACCTGAGCTGAAGGCAGACGCTTAACTGACTGAGCCACCCAGGTGCCCCTAATATATAAAACAACTCCCAAAAATTAGTGTTAAAAGGCAACCTCATAGAAGAATAAACGGAAAATTTGTATAGGCAGGTCAAAAAAGAAAAACTTAAATTACCAATAAGCATATGTCCACCCTCACTAAGAAGTTAGGAAAATGTAAGTGAGGACAATAAATTGGTCATTTTCCCCCACAAGATTATCACAACAACGGTGGTGATGTTCCTTGTTGCCAAGGGTGTGAGGTAAAGGGTGCTCTCTTCTGCTTTTCCACTGCTGGCAGGAAAATACATTGTTACCAAATTTTAGGGAAGTAGTTTGTTAATAACTACTAATTTTTTTTTTTTAATTTGGTTACCCTTAACCTAACAATCCCACATTTGGAGAGAGTGGAAATTAAAAATACTGTTACATGAGGAATTCTAAAAAGGATTTTTAGTGGGGCACTGTTTATACAGACAGGAAGCAACTGAAATCTCCATCAATAGGAATGGTTAAATAATCTGGGGTAAATCAGTGGTGGATATTATAAAGCTACTACAAGGAACGTAGCTCTGTCTACTGACCAAAGTAAAATCATGATACGTTCTTCAGTATAAAAAAATACTGAAGAGGGATGCTTGGGTGGCTCAGTCACTTAAGGAGCTGCCTTCAGCTCAAGTCATGATCCCAGGATCTTGGGATCGAGTCCTGCATTGGGCTTCCTGCTCAGAGAGCACAAGCTGGGGGAGGGGCAGAGGGAAAGAGAGAAGCAGACGCCCTGCTTCTGCTCAGTGAGCCAGAGTCGGAGCTCGATCCCAGGACCCTGGGATCATGACCTGAGCCCAAGGCAGATACCTAACCGACTGAGCCACCCAGGTGGACCCCTACATAGTTTCTAAAACTAAACAAGCAAATGGGTGCCCCTCACCACAGTTGTTGAGTACTCACGTTGTGCTTGGTGCCTGTGGTTGTTTAGGAACCAGGTGAACAGTGTCCTGTC